GAACGAGCCCTGCGGCCCACGGCCCGGCGTGCGGCGGGGGCGGGTACTGCGCCGAACGGGGGACGCCCATTGCTCGAATCGGCAGGGGGCGGGACTCCGAGCAAGACGGAGCTCGCCTGTTGGTCAGGAGGCTTGGAGGCATTGGTCGGAAGCAAGGCGGGGCGGAGCCACTCACGTGGGCTCGAAGAGCGCGAAGCTAGGGAGGGCCGCAGTTCCGCTCGCCAGCGTTCCACGGCTCTGGGGGCCTCCGCGAACCCCTACCCTACAGTGTCTCTCCCTGCTGCTCAGCGCTTCAACCCTTAGCTAGACGCGTTCAGGTCCCGATACTCTCCTCGAACCCGCACTAACATCATGACCCCATTTGCAGAGCAGGAAACTGGTTCAGAGACCAAGTGACACACCCAGAGAGTGGCAGAGTTGCAAGTTAGGAGCCACAGGGAAAAAAAGACGATACAAAAATCTAAAATGTAAAATTTCTGCCGGGCAAAAAATATCAAAGTTAAAAGAATATTAGAAAAATGCAACACATAAAAAAGGGCTGATGTCCTTACTATGTAAAAAACTGTCTTAATAAGATAATTAAGTATTAAAACAGAAACATGTTAAGTAACTGGAATTAAAAACTTAAAAAAAAATAAAATGAACCAAGGAAACAGAAGGGAACCAAGAAACACACAAATTACGAAAGGCTCTTTAATATCTGAAAATAATGGCTCCACTTGTCACTTAAAAATACGAATAAAATTATAAATTTTCACGTATTAATCGGCAATGATCAAGAAGCATGATAATATTCTTTGTAGCTGAGGATGGGGGGAAATGCATTCCCATACCTGATTCTGTGTAAATTGGTACAGCCTTTTTGGAAGGAGCACTTTGTAGTAACAAGAATGAAACCACCTCAACATCCAGCATTGGAAGCTAATTGTATAAATTATAAAATATCCTTAGAGTGGAATACCAGGCAAAAAGACTAAAGTAATCCAAAAGTACTGTTGAGGAAGAATGGCCAGGAAGGATGTGAAAAAACATGCCTACACTGAAGCCAGAAATTCCAACTCCATGTCTGACTCACAGTTTTGATCTTCGAATGAAAATTTTCTAATGAAATCTAATGATTAATGACGCTAAGCAAAAAGATAAAATTTTCATCATCTTTGGAAGGATACCCCAAACAGCAGCAGTGGTAACTTCTGGAGAGAAGAAGCAAGAGACTAAAACCCCCGTGGAAAAAAGGCTTTTTTCCTAGCATGTAATGGTTTGTACTGGATTTTTTTGGTCATGTACATTTATTAACTTGGGGAAAAAAGGCCTTCCCTCTAAGGATCCATAGAAAGACATCATGGTGCCCATGAGCCCCCCCCTGGAATTCATATCCACAAATGTCTATGCACATATTTACATCCTGTTGAGGGGAGAAGGTCTGTAGCTTTCATCAGATTGTCAGAGTGGTTCGTTGACCTCTCCATTTTTTTTAATGTTTATTTATTTTTGAGAGAGAGACAGAGAGAGCATGAGGGAGGGTAGAGAGAGAGGGAGACAGAATTCAGGGCAGGCTCCAGGCTCTGAGCTGTCAGCACAGAGCCTGATGTGGGGCTCAAACTCACGAACCGTGAGATCATGACCTGAGCTGAAGTCAGATGCTTAGCTGACATAACCCAGGCGCCCCTTCACTGACTTCTCCAGAAATGTATGAAGCCCTATTCTCCAAATGCTGGTATGTCTTGATAACCAGTACCCTACTGGCACTAGTCCTGAAAAGACCCTACTCAGAATTGTAAGGTGCTTGCCACATTCCAGGTCCTGGTTGGGGCATATAACACACACTCTAGTTGACTCCTCACAGCCATTAGAGCTTAAAACAGGGGTGTCAGTACACATGGCTGCCCCTAAGACCGGAGTGTGCTCATCTTTGTTACGCATCAGTACAAAGCTGAACTTCTTGGGGGACTACTGAATGCTTTCACGAAGCAAGTTCTTCCCCTTGGCCTGATGACAAACACATGAAAAGGGTACTTTTTTTCTCTCCATTGTGTAGATGAAGAAACAGAGGCTCAGAGTAACTCCCTAACCTGACACGTCACACAGCTACTAACAATCAACATTTAGAGGCAGCGCCCAACTCTTAGACACTCCATGATACCCCGTGGCGCAGGGCACCCTTCCCAAACAAACTCATCTGGATACAATCAAAACTAATTACAAGATATCTGTTAACTTTATCAATGTATTTTTTTAAGTTTATTTGTTTAGTCATCTCTACACCCAACGTGGAGCTCAAACTCAACCACCCTGAGATCAAGAGTCACATGTTCTTCCGACTGAGCCAGCCAGGTGCCCCCCTGCCATGTATTTTTATTTTGCGAAAAGAAGAAATCATTACAATAGTAGGACTATTTAAAACAGGACACACCAGGGGCGCCTGGGTGGTGCAGTCGGTTAAGCGTCCAACTTCAGCCAGGTCACGATCTCGTGGTCCGTGAGTTCGAGCCCCGCGTCGGGCTCTGGGCTGATGGCTCGGAGCCTGGAGCCTGTTTCCGATTCTGTGTCTCCCTCTCTCTCTGCCCCTCCCCCGTTCCTGCTCTGTCTCTCTCTGTCCCAAAAATAAATAAAAAACGTTGAAAAAAAAAATTAAAAAAAAAAAATAAAACAGGACACACTGAATTTAAAACAGGATGTTTCCCAAAAAGATTTGCAACATGACTTTTCAAAAAAATACCCACTGCATAAACCTTAAGTACATGGCAGAAATCTATATTTATTGTCTTTTTATTTATTTTATAAAACAGGGCAAGTGCATTTTCAAAGTACTTCTGTAGCCATTTCACCTGTTCCTCCCAACAGCCCCGGGAAGGAAAACGAACAGGTGTTACTTACAAGGAAACCAAGGTTCCAGAAATTAAATAAGTGATTTAAATAGCAGAATCAGACATGAAACTAGCTCTCCAGATTCTTCATTCACTCATAAATAATACATACTCTCAAAATAAAATCTCCACTGAAAATATTAGCATTAGTGGGATGGGAGGATAAAGGTGCCTAGTGGGCGTTAAATAAATATCTGTGGGTTACAAGATGCAGAAAGTGGAAAACCTACTGAGTCCTCTGCCAGGTGTCTGGCATTTGTAAAACTCGACGCCTTGGTATGTGAATTTAAGAACTGCGTTAGGACACACAAGTTGAGAATCTTTCAGGCCATGGAAGTTTGCAGGAGTTGGTGGCAAATGTGACCCAGAGATCTTAACTTTGGAAAGTACAAATGACAGCACTCCCCGGCAGTTCTTGAGGGGTGTGAGCTGGGTAACAGTATTAACACACAGCCCAAACCCATAAAATCGCCCACATTCTGGGCCCGTGGACCACGGTTTACACTTCAGTCTCCTAATACTCCGCTCTGACTGACAAATCCCAGAAAGGATGATGACTTCCTGTATTTTTTGTCTTGAAAAGCTGAGGTCCCTTCTTCCCTAGCTCACTCTGGAAGCTTTTCTTCCCGGCCCAGGAAAGCCGGGGGGTGGTGTTTCCTGGGAGATTTTGATTCGGCATCAGATCTATTTCTTGATTTGGTGTTCATCTTTCCAATTGAGGACAAGGATCCTCAGCTGTGTTCTAGTTATCAGGGGCCAAAAAGTTCAAGGCTGTCCAGTTTCCCTTCTTTGTAGAAGAAGATATTCTCCATCAGTTTCCTTTTGGCTTCATTGATCTCAATCTTCCATGAAGTCTCTGTAGCTGGCATTCAACAGAAAATTTAAAGAAAGAACTTGAACAAACGGCATTTAGAAATAGTTACTATTATAATTCTTAGAAGTCAGACTTGGTCAGTTTCTCACTTAAATCAGGTTTCTGAATCAGGCCCTGAGCATAACGAGCATTTTCCCTGCTTCTGCCTTTGCAGTGAAGCCTTGCCACCTGCCCCCACTTTTCAGAAAGGCGGGGCCTTCCACGCTCCTTCTCATGGGTGGGAGACGTTGGCATGAACACTTACACCCTCTCTCTCTTCTCCCTCCTCTCTTCTCCCAATGGGAGAAAGATGTAGGTAGAGGTAGGGCCTGGGACATTCATTAAGCCATGTTTAGTAATGGACAAGGACACTGCATTAAAAAGGTCTTTTTTTTTTTTTTT